CCATTTACACGTGATGCCCCACTCAGTCTCACCTGCCCGGGGTCTCACTGTCTCTGACAGCCCCTACAGCTGTTGAGGCCCAGACACACCCCTGGAGTCACAGGAAGACCCTGGAAATGGGTAGGGAAAGATTCTGGGCAGCAGTCGTTTTTTACCCCTGGGGCACTGATGAGCTGAAGGAGTTATTTCGGGTCTGACAATACAGACTTAAGTAGGACCTACAGGGAATGAAGAAGCCAGGCTTCCTGGTTCGAGGCCCTCCTGCAAACGTGAGAGGCAGGCAGAAAGCAGCTATGGTGACTGTAATTTGGGGGGCAGTGGTTTCCAAAACTGGCCAAACACCTGTGTTCCCTCAGGGCCTCTTGAAGGTAACAGATTTCTGAGATCTTGATTCACTGGGTCCAGAGAGAAGCTTAGCGCCTCTGACTCTGTCAGCCATTCCAGGCCACTGTGCTGGTCACTGCTGTGAAATGCAGCACAGGGCAGGCTAGGCGGGGGGCTGCTGGTGGCTAGCCTAGCCCGAGGCGTTTGTTTCGCTAACCAGTGGTTACCTGCATTTCAGCTCTTTTGAGCATGGCACTTGTATTTGCCTGGACAAACCATGAGTCCAGAGTTGGAGACACTGTCTCCTCCCCATACAGGTTGCCACCAGGTTGGGAGCACCCCTTCCCAGGTGCACCCCTGCCCTGACTGCCTCCTCTCTTCCCAGCACCCCAACAACCACGCAGGGTTACTAGGACAACACTGCTTTTCAAAGTCCGCTTCCTGACATCACCAGCCCAGGCCTGATAATATTTGATCCTTTCCTGGTTAATGAGAAAAAAAAAAATCCCTGATTCCTGGCAGGTTCTAAAGCACAGCTCCATTACACAATAATGAGCAAACAACCTTGACGATAATGAGCAGACGGTGACCCTGGTGCTGGTGCAGGAGGGGGATGTGAGGAGCGTGAATGCTAGACCTTCGGCTGGTCCCCAAGGCCCTGTCCTCTGGCTCGGGCGCAGCTAAAAGTGAGAACAGCAGAGCTGTAAGATTCTGAAGGAAGACTGTCCTGCGGGAACAAGGCCCACCATTCGAGAATCCAGCACCCAGGCCGGAGCCGGGGCCTTGCGTGTCACAAGCTTTGGTAGTTGATTTCTGGACCCGCTCCGGCACAGGAAGTGTATTGCAATACCATGGGCGGTATCTAGACTCTCACAGGAGGTAGATGACTTACAGACATAATTTAAACTCCAAGTCCTCATCTCCAGAGCAGATTCCAACTCACTCAGACTGGCTTTGTATGGACCTGAGGAACTGGTGACAAGTGTTCAGACCACAATGAGTTTGGACAAAATTGACAGGTAACCAAAATGAAAGACAATTCCCAGATCCTGCAGCTTTGCTCCGGAAGTAGGCCCTGCAGCTGTGAATCTGTATGTGATCGCTGATTCATCTAGCTTTAAAAGGGAGAAGCCGTCCCAGACCAATTTACAGAGAGGGAGACAGGCCGAAGGAGCCAGCACACCCCTCAGCGCATGAGGCAGGGAGCTGACCTCACACCGCAGCTCAAATCCTGAACCTCCCACCCACCAAGCCACCTCTCCTTTAGCGTTACGTGGCACACAGAGACCCAGGCCTTGTTCTCCCCCAGGCATGACTCTGGAGTCAGGGCCCAGCCTCCAGAGAGGTCCGAACACCAGCTTCCTTCCCCAGGAATGCTCTGAGGCAGAGCCATCAGGTTCTTACCCTTGGCAAGAGGCAGCAAAGGAAGATGGCAGCTCAGTTCTGTCTGCCAGCTCCCTGGGCCAAAAAGCAGCCCAGGAAATATGACACAGACTTCTATTCCATCAGAACAAACAATGGGGCTCAACAGGTCGCTCAGAGTCCTGAACAACGGGAGTGTGCTGCCTGAGGTCCCTACGGTCTGTCCTTGGGCCACCTGGCTTCATTCGATCCCCTATGCAAGAGATGTCAATCATCATACGTCCCTTAGTAAAGGAAACTGCCTGCCTTCAGCCCTTGAGAGCGAGAGGGATGATCTGAACAGTCATCTCGAATCCAGAATTTCCCTCCTGTTCCAGGTCCTGGGGCGCCTGGGGGAACGACAGTTTCTATCTTTGGACTCTCCTGAGACTCCAGCATCTTTAGATGAACCCCACCTTCTCTTGAGCTAACTCGCATGGGGCCCTGCTGCTTGCTGATGAGAACTAGGAAGGGAACACAGGGAGGTGGTTGTCTCCATTGTAGCTGAGAGAAGAATGCCGGCCGGCCGGGGGACACACGCAGAGAGAGGAGCTCTGAAAAGATGATCGGGTGCTAGACTGAGGGGGCAGAACCAGCCCCGCCCGCCCAAGAGCCTGTGGGGAAATCTGCGCGTCAGGGGAGGTGGGCAAGGAGGAGGCAGGATCAGCAATGATCTTCAGCGGGGATGGCTCATGGGGTCTGGGGTGGCACAGAAAGTTCTCAGAGCAGGAATGTGAGGCTCTGGGGACTGAGGGATGTAGGGAGGGAGCACCATGGAAGGAACTCAAAGAAGAAGTCTGAAAGGGAAATGGAAGAATGTGAGCTCGTCCGCAGATGTTTACTGCACTTCCCTGACTGAGGGGGCAGCCAGCACTCACTGGGAGACAAACCATGTGAAGTACGTGACCGAATCATCTACAGTCTAATAGCTAAAGACACTATCCCTTAGGCACAGTATAAGCAAAAGAGACATTCATCTCAGGGTAGACATGGTCCCCACTGCCCCCTTACATCGACTGAGAAAGAATGACCTGTCCACTTACTCACTGTTGTCTTGCCAATGGGAAAACTCAGGTGTAACCTTCACGCCTGATGACGATGATTCTCTTGCTCTGGGTTGTCTTGTGTGAATCTTCTTTCCTTCTAAAACTTTCTGCTTTTCCTTTTTTCTATTTGCCATAACCTCCATTACCTAGGAGGTACCTCCATACCTTCTGTGCCTCTAAATCTTAGGCAGTTTCCCACTCCTTTGGCCAGCAGTCTGGATTTGGAGTGAAAATAGTGAAGTGTTCTGCTCTACGTCACCCCCAGGGTAGTGCCTGAAGAACTTCAGATTGAAGAGATTGAAAACGGAGTGATGTGACAGTCCGGGTGGGCTGGAGGCCAAGGACCTGGGTACTGGCCCCTCATCCTGCCAGCCCCAATGTCTTCAGGACATCCAGCCCAACACTCACCCCTTCCCTGATGGCCTTGCCGAAGCAGCGCACCTCAGAGGGAATGCTACCCTGTAGTCACTTCTCAGTATCTGACCTGCTCATCCATTTGGTGATGCTACAGTGTGCCCATTCACCAAATACGCATCAAGCACTTACCGAGTATGAGGTGCTCTCTCTGGTAGTTCAGATGCAAAGAAAAATAAAATGGAAAATGAATTTAACAAAAATATTTCATCAAGTTAAAGTGGCCCTTAGCCCATTCATGAAATATTTTCAGTCTCCTTCTGTGATTGGCATACAGTTGGAGCTGGAACTCATTCTCTGCCCCCAGTTTGCTGCACGGGCTGTACATAATCTCAAATCCACCCACCCTGAGATTGTGGAAGAGCCTCCATGGTCATGAGCTTGATCGTGGGCCAAGACAGCATCAGAACTCTGCTCAGAAGGGAGGTTTTATTTGCTGACTGGATGGTGCTGCATAATTTGACCCACAGAGTGAAACTCACCTTAGGGAGGTTTTCCCTCTTGTGTCTACTAATAATAGACCCACTGGCCTGTAGTGGGATGAGGACGTCACAGAAGGAGGTGGATGCTGAACATGGAGGATCTAAGACCAAAGTTGCCCTGTGGAGAAGGACACAACCTGCCTGACCATTTGCCTCCTCCCGTGATGCTGGCATGTGCCACAATATCAAATCAGTCTCCTAAAAGGATGCAGGAAGTCTGCCCTTTGTCCTCAAGATTGTTCTACTGGCCACAGGCAGGCCACAGCCACTTGGGCAGGCTGGGGAGGGTTTCCTAGGACTATTAACTATTACCCACGTAGGATATTGCCCGGTGTCACAGTCTGGTGGTGAAAGGTTTTCTGGTGTAGCTCATGGACAGCTGAAAACAACACTCATCTCGTAGACACGGCTGGGCTAGCCATGGGAAGGAGACTTCGGCATCAAGTAGTGGCAACTCAGAGAAATCGGAACTGGATCTCTTGGAGGCTGAGGTCTACTGTCTGCTGACACAGATGTGGTCCTCCATGGGTCCATCTGGTGGGCTGCGGTGCCCTCACTAAAATCTGCTCTTTCTACGGTTGACTCTGACCCAGTGCTGTGCCCTCGGACAGGACAGAAGGTGTCCTTTCCCACGGACTGGACCAGAAATCCTCATGTCCCACAGTCAGCCTCTTTTCACTTCCTCATCCCACAATCAAATACATCCCCTTCATTTTTTTTCCAATCCCCATGAAGGAATGAGTCAACATCGGGCAAGGGAAAACAGGCACTGAATTCTCTTTCAGAGCAGCAGAGAGCTCAGCAGGGAACCACGGGGGCGGAGGAAACTGCCTCTTCAGGCTGGGAATTCACAGACAGCCAAGAAGGAGGCAGAGCAGGAGATGTCATTCCAGAGCCCGTCACTGAGGAGGACCACGCAGTCCTCCCCCGAGCCATGGTCATTCGGCTCATTACTCTTCCAGTTGCTGTAGGTTATCCGCCCTCCTGTTACGTACGCAAAATGGCCTTCTGTCACCTCATCTGTGATGCCCAGAAAGGCATTGTCCTGGGCCACGTCCTGGATGGCTTTGTTCTCCTCAGCATTCCTGGGGGTGGCCACAGTGGCCTGAAACCCGGCGCATAGAGCCTTCACTTGGGAAAAAGTCATCTTTTTGCCATTGGTCACATAGAGCTTCTTCCCAGGCTTCTGGCCCAAGGAAAAGACTTGCACTGAAATCACAAAGGGTAGGGGAGGTTGACTTGGCTTGGAGACCAGCCCAGGATAGCAGATGAAGATGCCCTTCTCTGGGAACTCATGAGTCTGAGGTGGGGCCCTGTGCTCCACCACCTCTGGCCAGATCCTAGGAAGAAAGCCTTCCTCCAGTGTAGAGCAAGTCCCTGGCAGCAAGCCGGGGCTGTCCCGGGATAGCCCATCCTTATGACAAATACCTGTTAAAAACTGTCCCAATACAGAGGACGTAGGGAAACGTGCTTGGGCCCTGCTGCCAGGCTTGGGCACCAGGGTAAGAAAGAGGCACGGACGGCCCTCTGAGAACAGAGGGTGCTGAGGAAGGCACAAAGATTCCAGAGGCAGCAGACCTCCACGCAACCCTCCCTCAGCCCCTTCCTAGCTGTATGCTATTGAATGAATTATCTAGATTCCCGGACCTATTTTTTTTCTTAACTGTAAATAAAATAGGTGTGATACCCCCAAATAGACAAGAGGATGGAATGAAACCCTATTACGAGAAAAAGCCAACCTAGCCCTGGGATACAATAAATGGTCATAAATGTTAGTTCATGCCACCCTCCCCAAAACCTAGAGCACTCTGGAGAAAAAGGTAAGAGCCCAGAATACGTTGGGCTGGAGCAGAAGAAAGGCTTACACTTTTTCACGTGATCCAGTTCTGACCTCAGCCTCCTTAGCTGTCCCTCTAAGTTAGCCAGCTTAGCCTCAGCAACTACAAAGCAAAAGGGAGATGGGTATTTATTGAGAAGAAGACCCTCAATTGGAGAGCAGAGTATTTTGAAAAAAAAAAAAGATTTGCTTACTAAAAAGCATGCTTATTCCAGAAAAATATGAAAACAAAAAGAAGCAAAAGAAAAAAAAACTGTATTCCTGCCTTCCCAGATATACTTGGTAACTATTGTAAGCTATAACTCTGGAAATAATAATAATAATTAATAATAATAACAACTTGTAAACCATAGCTCTGTGTTCTTCACATGCTGCTTAAATATTACAATACTATAATTGCTTATAAGAAAAGGCCCAACAAATTATTCTCCTTTTAGAAAACTTTCTTTTTTTTGAATTGTAGTTGATTTACAACGTTATGTCAGTCTTTGGTGTGTAGCATAGCGATTCAGCTACATATCATACTTTCTTATTCCAGGCAAACTCTTCAATACTTCTATTATTTTGATGGGTCAGTGGACAGATATTAGTAAGAAGTCCTCATTTTTGGTTTGTTGGTATTGAGTTTATTTCACTCTGAACTAAGTTGCTTTGATGTCCCGGGTTACCCAGGGGCCCTATGCGGCCAACCCTTTTCATGCTATGCTTGTGACAACAGACATAAACCAACAGCAGAGAGGATCTGCTTCCTCCCTTGCAGCCTGGAACCACACGCTGGACTGTTTCAGCTGAAGAAGGGCCAGGGCGCATCTCCTACAGGGAACTGCTGAGGGGGTGGCAGGCAGGGTTTGGAGGTTCGTACCCAAGCACCGGTGGGAATCCCCCCAGGCCCCAGGGAACTGAGAGGAATGAAGGTGCTGGGTCAGGAAGCAGAGCCAAGCATCTTTCAGTGTGACAGCAGAGAAGAGGCCCCTCCCTCCTGGCCCTGGAGTTCCCAGGGCCCTGGGTCCCCTCAGCCCACACCACACGCTGGGGTCAGCTCCTTACCCGAACTGTCTCCACGATCTCCTTTGGAGCCCTTTGGTCCCAGAGGCCCAGGACTCCCTACATTTCCTGGAGGCCCCATTTTCCCTGGAGGACCCTGCAAGCCTCTGAGCCCTTGCCCTGTTGGAAGAGGAAGGAAATGTGACCCACTGACTGTCTCTCATTCTCTTTCTTCAGCAGCTCATACTCGATGCACACTGACCCCAAGAAACCGCTCGTGAACTAGCAGTGGTCCAAAGCAGAAAGGGCCTCTTGCATGCCCAGGGGATGCCCTGCCCTGAGGGCCAGCTCCCTGAGCATGCAAGACACTCCTTCTCTAGGGACAATCACATGTCACTCATTCCTGTGTGGAAATAAGGGATGCTGGGGAGTCAGAGAAGTGCCTTTGCCTTGGAGGGGATGACCTGTCACGGGGACTATTCTGAGTGAAGCATCAACCACCATAATGAAAGGTGAGCCTTCTCATGTCTCTGCTAGCTCCCGTAGACAGAGCAGTCTCCTGTTAGGGTAAGAGAGTTAGGAGGTCAGAGCAGCCTGTCCTGTACCTGGCTCTCCCTTTTCTCCCTTGGGTCCGTCTCGCCCATCTCTGCCAGGCGTGCCGTTGGTGACCGGGATGCCACAAGCAACCACTGAACAGGTCTTCTGGGCATCCTCACAGGTTTTTGTTTCTGAGCTGGATGCTGTCACCACACACAGAAGAAGGACAGGAAGTGACGAAAACAGGAACATGGTCCTTCCTCTAGAGTGGAGAAAGTCAAGGAAAATAAATCCATCTCATTTCGTGTAGTCAGCATTTGCTACCACCTCTGATGTGCTGGACCTGGTGTGTGGGGCCACAGACACAGGGGGGAATACCGCGACCCCTGGCTCTGACTGCTGCCAGGCTACTAGGGAAACAGACAAGTAAAAAGCATGACCCTTAGTGCTAAAGCGAAGGTAGACGCAAGTGTAATAATAATAAAGGCCCGTTCTCCCTGGGGCTCTCATGCCCTGCGGATGGAAGGCTTAGTGGGCAAGGCAGGCCCATGTACGAGGGGCCACAGGGTCTGGAGGTGACGCACAAGCCCTGTTCCTGATGGTCTGGCACAAAGGCAAAGAGAGCAGAGTGCTTGTGTGAGCTTTGGCTGCTCTTTTTCCCAACTTTCTTTCTTGAGGGTCAAGGGAGCCTCAGTTTCCCTCTTCTTCCCCTTCCTATGGTCCCTAAAGCTAGACTCAAACTATAGCCGGTGACCCAAGGTCCCACAAGGTCCATTTCTCCGTGGGCCCTGTTTTACTACATCCATTGTCTCATTTCACATAAACATCTCTGTTTTACACTCCAGGGTCCCAGCTGCCCTCAGAACCACAGCTGTTTCCCCAACAGCCTGTCAATCACCCTGTATAATAAAGACTCTACTTTGTGACAGGCACTTGCTGGGACTCAGGACCCAGAGTGCCCTGATGTATGGTTCTGACCCTGAGAATGGAACCTTCTTTGGTCACTGATCCCAGCCAGCTGAGACTGAGATTTGCCTCTTTCCCTTGGTTTGAGGTTTTCCATGGAGAGGCCATTTTTCCAGCCACAACCCAGGCTCCTAAAGTTTCTGTTCACCCTGGGCCCGGCGGGGTCCACTCAGGCTTCTTCTCCTGGCAGGATGCTCTGCCTGCTTCCCAGATGCCTCTCCAGCTCTGCACCTCCGTTCAGCCATCAGATTCCCATCCAGCCTTCATTCAGGCGGGCCCCTTTCAGTCCCCATGGACGTCTCCCTCTGCTTCTCTCTAGCCTCTAATTCCAACGTCTCCGGCCCTTGCAGTATAACTACTGCATCTTCCCTTGCCTACCCTGGCCTGTCAGCCTGCTTAACCCTTCCCTTCCTCCAGGACTCAGTGAGACGTGGTAATTGGAAGGCGATTTTCTCCATCATAGTCTTCTCCACCTTTCCTCTTTCTAACTTTTTTACCTCCCCTGATCATGCCTGAGGCCAAAGCCAGGGCTAAGCATGCTGCTGGCATTCACACCCCACTTTGTTTCTTCCCTTTGGCCGAAAAGACCACCCTTCAGCTTGCAGGTGCTCAAGGCAATCCAGGAAGGGCCCAAGGCCCCAGGTCCGAGAGAGACAGAGGCCCTCAGCAGGCCTGACCACCCCACCAAAGCCCCTGCCTGCAACTCACCGGGATCAGGTCAAGGGGCCAGACGCTCAGCACAGGCCTCCACCTCTGCCCTCCAGAAGTGACCTCCTCAGAGCACGGAGGCTGCCACAGGGAAGCTGGTGCTCCAGCCTAGGCCTCCGGCAGGTGCCCCAGTGTCATTTGCCCCAATTAGTCTGGTGACCAGGAACAGTGCTGGACTGGCCTTCAACCCTAGCTTAATCAACAACCATCCTTAGAACTGCCATATCCTGGGCAGTTCTCCAGGGCTGCTGGTGGGGTCTCCAGCGGAGCGCTGGGCCGTTTTCTCCTGCAACACCCCAAACTCTTCCTCCTACTGCTCCCCGGGCATCCGTCTCAACAGCTTAGCAACTCTGACCTTCCAGAATCAGAGCCTCAGATCACAGATCAGAATCTCAGAGGCTAGTTCCCTCTACTTACTTTTAGAAGAGACATGAATAGACATTCAATCAAACACATGCTCATGTGCATGCCCCCCCCCACCGGCACACACCTCTGTATTAGTTGCTCTGCCTAGTTCACCCCTCCATTTGTATTTAGTTTATTGGAGGGGGTGGTAGGGGTTAAAGACCTGAGTTGCCTCATTCCTCTCTTCTCACTCAGAACATTTGTCAAATGTCCCCTCTGGGTGTGTTACAGGGCTAGGCACATGGGGAAGAATTTGTAGATAATTTAAATTCAAAGTTGAATGTGGGCGTTTGCACTAGCTGTTCCTGCCTGTGACACTTCCCTCCATCTTTGCAGAATTGTCATTCACATTTCAGCCTAAATATGATCTCTGGAGAAAGGGCTTTCCCTGACCACTGTATCAGAGTTGTAGTTCGCTGTTTTAATTATCTGTCTATAACGCATCTCTGGGTAAAGTTGTTTTATTTCTCTGGTTGCATATTTGTTGACCATGCCACTCCATTAGAAGAGGAACTTCATCAGAACAGAGGTCTTATTCCCCAGCTGTAGTGTCCCCACCTAGAAGAGGGCCTGGAAGGGACTCAATGTTCAATAAACATTTATGGAACAAAGGACGCCTCCAGCATCACGTCCTCAGAGCGGCCCTCCTGACTCCCCTCCAGCTGGAGCTCACATCTGTGCCCACCCTCCCGCGCTTTTACTTTTCCAGGGCAGGAGCTACATTTGATTCACCTCCTCGTCTCCAGGGTGCAGCCCAGGGCTGGCACACAGGGAGGATCCATTGAGAGAGCAAGGAGGGAAGCAGATCCTGAGCGGGGCAGATGCTGGATCAGTCCACGGCTCCTCCCCACCGGGGTTTCCAGGAGTGTCAACTTCTTATCTCCAGAGCCTGATCAAGTGGCTTTTTCGGGTCCCTGACGTAACATTTGATTCCTGCCTTCTCCCAGACTTCCCCCTACTCTTTGAAACACTTAGTCTCACCAAACAAACTCTAGAGGTTTGCTTTTTCCCTGGTGGGGAGCGGGGACCGGGCCACTTCCCTTCGACTCTGCCTTGTGATCGGTCCTTCAGTTCCTCAAGGGCCATCGGCCCTTGTGCACTCAGGTCACCTTGCCCTGTTCAGCAACCCTCCCAGATTCCTGTTTTAAAGGAGACTGCCAGGCACTGAGAGGGGCCCGTTGTGAAGAAGACCCTCTCGAGGCTGTGTTTCCTGATACTGCTGTCACAACCTTGAAGGGCCCGTAGTCTCCCAGGACAAAGAACACTCAAACCACAGAGCAAACGAGCAGACTTCCCAGAAAGGTGGAAATTTGACATTGAGAGATTTACATAAAACCAGGACCCTATATTTGCTACAGACTTAGAGGAAGGGTAGCTGTGGAAGGAAGCGGGAGGGGAGGGCAGGAGGAGGGAGGGATGTGCACTGTCAGCAAAGGGACAATAAGAGATACTTGACTCTGGTGGGAAAAAAATCCTCCTGTGAGGATGCATATCCACAAGTCTGTCCCCTCACAGGTCTGGGGTTTGAGTTTATGCTTCTTAGTATTATTTTGTTATGACTATTATTACTGAATTTTGCCATTGATGCCAAGATGGAAAATTGTCTTTCAAGTGTCCCAGCTCATCACAGCCTAGTGTTCCATGGGAACATAAAATCAGTGGAGGGCCTTACCCTTAACCCAGGCACCTCAGGATTTCTCAGAGGGAGACCAGGTAAATTTGAGTTCACCTTGTAAAAACCACCAAACACAGGAAGAAATATACAGAGTGAAAGCTGAGTGATGGAAGTCTTAAAAACCGGCCTCTGAAGACTGTTGACTCTACAACCACAGATATTATTTTTAAAAAACATTATAATTAAGAACAAATAAAAAAATTAAAAATTGAACAGTGAAATTAATGAACCAGAATAAGGAAATAACTCTAGAGCTATTAGTAAAATTTAAAAAAACTGGTTTTTTGCAAAAAAAAAATATTGGCAAATATGACCATGGTACTTTGAATTATTGTGCCCAATTTTTTACCTCTCCTTATCATAGACATATCTATCCACACCTTATGCCATGGTACTTTGCAGCACCTCACACTATCCCTTCAATATTTGACTTGGCTGTGTGACCATGAGTAGACACTAAGGGAGCAGCAGCTTTAAATGTGGGAAGGCTGTGTCCCTGGTAGCTGCTAATATTTGAATAATTAAATGATGTGGAGCAAATGTGAACCCCCTGGAAAGCTTGAAGTGAAAAATAGCTACTAAGGTCCAGCCATGCATCAATAGTTAATAGCACAGTCCCTGGAATCTGACTTCCTATTCATAGCCCACTTCTGCCATGAACTGGCTGTATGAAATTTGGAAAATCACTTTAACTTCTGTGCCTCAATATTCTTATTTGTAAATTTGGCACAATAATGGCATCTACATAACAAGGTTAATGAGGATTACAATAGTTAATCCAAGAATCGTACCTGACACATAGTAAGTGTGATGAGAGTATCAGCCATTAGACCAAGTGGGGTATATCGCAGGAATGCAAGGATGGTTCAACATCAAAAACTGAATCCATGTAACTCATTAACTAAATATATAACAAGTTTAAGAGTCTTAATGCAGATATGTACAATCTTGAAGCTTGAAGCTCATCCTTTTCTCAAAACTAATATATGGTCTCAAAATTCTTCTTACATACTCTTCCTAGACCCTTGCAATGCAAACTTTCTAGGATTGACTTAAAATATAGTTCGAGCAAATGATTATTGTCCCCGTTTTGTTGTTAAAATCTGTTTCACCTCTTATTCATCACCACCATGGCCAAAGGGTGATGGTTTCTTGAAGTGAAGTGTGGGCAGTAGCCTTCTCTCTTATTCCTTTGCATGTGTGGGAGGTAGAATGATGGTGCCCAGGGTGGAAATATCTGTTCACAGAAGGCTCCATATGTCAGTTGAGACACTGCTGCCTCTGAACCCATCCTAACTGGTTGTTGGACTCCTCTGTATGACTGATTACAAATGACAGCTCCTCTCATGAGCTTGTCCTTCAGACAAGTGACTCTATATGAACCTCAAGCTGCATGTTCTCTGCCCTCAATATGATATCAATGAACATTTCAATTCATAGTCTCTGGCTCTTTAAGCCCCTATGCTCCAAGGAGCAAACTGCTCATGAGTAGGGTTTAAACCCTGGCTACCTTCCATAACATTGACATTGACATTGACAGCCCCTGGGAACTCCATCCACTCCATTGCCCCAGAATACCCTGCTCACAGGTCTATTCTCCCCTCTTCAACTCCCCACACCTCAGCAGGATCAGGCCCTCTGCTGGTTCAGTACTTCGGCAATTTTAGAACAGGAGATTCCCCCACTCATGCCTTAGGTCACTTAATCGGGGAAGGCAAAGTAATCTGGGCATCCCTACTTGCAAAGATTAGGAGGGGGTAGGACAGTCCCCTCCCCCATCCCACAGGGAGAGGAGAGGAAGGGATAAACTCCACTGTGAGAGTACAGATGTCACCCAAGGTAGGTGAGCTCGCTTTCCACTCTTTAGTCTTCCTTATACTGACCAACAGAATGGGAATTACTAAACCACTCAGTTGAACAGCTCTGTCCTTAGAAGTTCCACGGTGAGGTCCCTGGGACCCCCTGGAATCATTAAAAGATGAGGCACTTGGAGTCTCTTATTCTCACTTGTGGGCTTTAAATAGATGCCAATACTGAGGAATAGGAAATGACTCAAGCCACACTTGACACCTTTTTGATGTTAACAGCCTAAAGGAAATGCCAAAAAATCATCTGATAAAGTACCACCTGAGATGGGAGCAAGCTGCCCCTTCCACTCAACAAAGCAAGCTTAACTTGAGATTGAACTTTCCATTTTTCAGGTAAATGGGGGCTTAGAGCCAGAGTTAACTTGATTTATAAAAAAACAGAAATGTGCTGTTTCTTGGAAACAAAGCAACGGAAACTCATGTTAACACACTCATTTATTACACTTAAATCATCTCTGTGCAGTGAGAGGGTGGGGTGGTTATGAGCACAAGCTTCAGGTCCAGGTAGATGGGTTTGAAACCAGCCTCTGCTCCTTGCTCCATGTCATAAAACTCAGAACATTTAAATTCTCTGAGTTCAGTGTCCTCATATAAAAATTGGAGGAAATAATGCTCATCCCACGGTACTGTGTGAAGATTAAGTAATATTTTATAAGATACATTAGAATTGCTTATCAAGGTGTTTGGTTATATAGTATGTTCAATAAATAGTGGAGTGGTGAGTGGTGTGAACACCTCACTGGGGTCTGAAGTGGCGGGGAGACGCTCATGGGTAACATCTGAGGTGGGGGATGCGATCTTCCCTAGATGTGTAGGCTGGCTGCTTTATGTTTGGGGAGTTGAGCTGGCACCGCAACACTCAAGGAAGTGGAAAATACATGCCAATCACTAGGGGTGGGCTGGCCTCCACCAGGCTGGGGCACCATCTGACCCTCAGACCTCATGGAGAGCCTGACCAGATGTGCCCCCATGCTGCCAGATAATTCCAAATGTATCCTTAGCGCCACACATGTGGAATTTCCCAGAAGTCCACCCGTCTCTCAACATGCTTGATCAGAACTTTGAACTCTTGATCAGGCTGGGCAGGCAGTGGGCTGCAGAGAAAGAGTAGAGGGGGCCTGCAAGCAGGAACCCTCTGTGTGATTTAGGAAGACACTTCCATTCCAGGACCTCACTGCTGCCATCTAGAAATGAAGGAATTAGACAAAAAGACAAAGAAGCCTCCACCTCTTGCCAAAGGGCTGAGTTAGAGCAGCTGACTCGAGCGCAGTGCCAAGAAGGGGCTTGGGGGAGAGTCAGAGCGTTGGGCTGATTAATGATCGTAGGGGAGGACCCAGAGCCCACAGGGAAGTGGAGTGGCCAAGAATGCCTCCAACTCGGAGAGCCACAAAGGAGTTACAGCAACTCAAAGATCAGATGGATCCTCAGGAGGAAGGCTGACAGGCCAGGCAGGACCCTCTACCCTGTGGCCTTGTCGCCTGCTCAAAACTCGCAGATGGCCAGTCGGTACTGCTGGCAGTTCTTGTCATTCCACTGTCCATCTGTGTACATCTCCACACACTTCTCTTTGCCCCGCCCCCTGGGCTCCCCTGGGTACCATTTAGTGTAATTCACAGGGGCTCCGTCCAGGTAGTGGAAGTCTCCTGGGGTGGGGCCCTCAGCCAGGCCCAGGTAAGCATAAGTGTTGTGCTTCTTCACGATGCTTGCGATGGCCTCATTCTCCTCTGGACTCCTCGGGACAGCAATGTGCCCACCTACTCTGGCACACAGCTCTCTAATGTCATCAAAGTTGACCGACTGCCCATTGGTGGAAAAGACTTTCTCTCCCACTGCCAGCATGGACCCCTGCAAACTGAGGACTGAGAGCAGGGGAATCCAGGTCAGCTCACAGACCTCTTTCTCCAGGTACTTTTCCTTCCCGTTATGCTCTCTGCCCTCGGGCTTTCTCCAACCTCTCCATCTCTGCCTCTCTCTGTTTTCTCTCCCTCTTCCAATCCTAGCCCTTCTGGATTCCCCTCTGTGTTCTCATAGTTCACGCATCCATTTAACAATTACTTATTGAATGTCTACGTGTGCCAGAATCTGTGCAATTTCCTGGGATTCAATAGGAAGCAGGATAGGTGGCGACAGCAGGGACCTTGCTTCCCCAGGACACAGGGAGATGACCCATGTCTCCTGCCTCCTCTGGACTATTCAAGAACATCTGAGGAAGGACCTCCATGCCCCCACCTGTTTGTCAAGTGTCTAGATTCGGAGCCCTGGTGCCGAGGGTGAGGGAACTTATGGGAGACTCCCCAACCCCATAAGGCCCCAAGGGGTCCCCTTACCGCCCATTGCCTGCAGGATTTGATGTCTGAAGTCATGGAGAGTGCTTTGGAATTCCTCATCTAGATAAGCTGGAAACCCTGTAGAGAGATGCCCACCTGAGATGAGGGCCAGGCCAGCAACACCCCCGCCTGCTGCCCAGCAGGTGTGAGGCCAGGTGCAGGCATGGCTTTTGGCCCCCATTGTCCACACCCACCCAGGCCCCAGGGCATCAGAGTCCAGATGGCTGGAGTATGTTTCCACGCTCCCTACACACTTGTCCTTGGACACAGCCTTGGACTTGCTCAGCCCCCTCCCTATTCTTCTTTCTGCCCATGTCCCTTCATGGCTCTGGCTGCCAGCTTCTGCGGGGCTTTCTGGTTTCTGGACAAGGCTCCCTACCCCACCCTCCACCAAGGGCAAATGTGGTTCCCTCTGTGCTCTCCTGATGCGCCTTAATTACTACTCAGAGCTTCAGAGCCCCCCTCTGCATGCGGGGTTCCCAATTACATCATCTGTTTGGGTCCTCCGTCCTTCAGAACTCCCCTAGTGGTGCAGCCCTAGGAAGTGCTGCCCCGTGTCCCCCACCCGACGCCCTGCGTGTCCCTGTCAGCCGTCGTGGTGCATGGAGTGCTTCTGATACCCACCAGTCAGTCCCTGTGCTGTGTGTGGTCCACTACCCAGGCACCTCTGATTTCTCTTCTCAGCTTCATCTTCTCTTATTTTGGTCAAGCAACATGCCCTTTGGGGGACCTGCATGGTTCTGTCTGATCCCCATCACCCCTCATGTGGCTGACCACCTGAACACGGTGTCCACGTCACCTCTGTCCATTTGCTCCATCCTGCTCACCTGGGGGGCCCCTCTCACCAGGCGCTCCCTTCTCTCCACGCTCTCCAGCAGGGCCAGGGGCTCCAATCATCCCATCACGCCCGGGGAGGCCTGGTGTTCCTCCAGGGGGGCCCGTGGGGCCTGCAGAGAGAAGGGGATGTGGATGTATGGTATCTGTCGCCCACAACTGGGATAGGGCTGACGTGACTGGATCTCCATTAACAGCCAGGCTGACTCACCTGTCACTCCCTGGGCACCTTGAGGATAGACCCTCCAGGGCTGCTCAGTCTAAGGAAACTCCCCAGGGAACACCCGCCATCCAGCTGACCCTCGGACCCAGCCCAGCACCCCGGACAGAAGGTCCTCCTGACAACAGGTCACAGCCCCTCAGCACCCACTCAGCACCTGGAGGTCCGGGGTCTCCTTTGATACCGTCTCTCCCGTCCCTTCCTGGCAGGCCGTGGGATCCAGGAGTGCCGGGGATGCCCGGGCTCCCGCTACAGACCTCCTTCACCTCGCACTCGAGGCCAGAAGCCATCACCAAGATGAGGACAAAGGCCAAAGAGCACAGCAGCATGGCTCCTGCTCCAGGTGCTCGTCCTGCGGGAAGGAAGGGCCGTCGACCACCTGAAGCATTTGTGAAGGTCTCCCCTCAATGTGCTTTGTCATGATTCAGGCATATGACAAAGCCTGCGGGCCAGGGCAGGGACAGACAGGAGCTCTGGAAAGACCCAAACTATCCTTGGAAACTGTCAGCATCATCTGGTACCTCACATGGTCTCCTGCCCCATCCCTTGGGCTGGAGGTGCTGTGGTACCCGGGCAGGTGGGGAGTTGAAAAGAGCTCTGCAGAGTCAGAGAACCTGGGTTCTAAGGGAGTCTCTGTTCCTCGCTGTGTGACCACAGGGAACTCACTTCACCTCTCTTGGCCTCAGCTGAAACTTCTGCCCTGGAGGCAATCCTGCCCTGTCCCTCCCGGTCTGTTGGGAGGAAGCATGTGGTCCCTCCCTCCCTCATACTCTCAGCGACCCTCCTTTTGAGTTCTGAGGGACGATGATCCCGAGGCTGAGCAGAGATGACCAGGGCCCACGGCTTGGCCATCCCACATTGGTCAGTGATGGGGAGTGCTCTCCTCCCTGCTGGGGCATCCCTGTCTCCCTTTGCCCCCCACCCTGCAGGCAGGCCCTGCCGAGTCCCTGGGGGGAACGGACCTGGCCCAAGAGCACAGTAAAGGACGAGGACATTTGCAAGCACATCTTTTCTGCACCTGTAGTTCAGATTCTGTGGAACAACTCCCAGTGGTCCACTGGGAGGCCCCCTCCTTTCCAGCCTGACCCTTAGTTAAGCCTGTAACTGCTGGGCTGGTTCACACAGCCTGAAGCCCTGGGGAAGACCCAGGGGACGGGGCTCAACTCACCCAGACAAACAGAGCCTGTGTGGATCTCTGCCTCCAGATCCGGGTGGAGAGAGACAGCATTTATACTGATGCAGGCTCCCCAGATTTCTCTCCGCCCAGAGAGGCTCCTGTCACAAGGGCCTCTACTCCGGGAGGGCCAGGCAGGAAGCTGCCGTCTTGTTTACTGAGCACATGTCCTTACGGGGCACTCAGGCTAGAGGGGCACTTAGGAAACCCACTAGAGAGAAACCCCAGGTTGGTAAGAAGGGACATTTCCTTGGTGGAGCTCAGGATCCAGTTCCCCCAACAGTGAAGGATGAGAGCCCTTAATCAGGAACCGATGGAGGCACCAGGCAAAGGGAGCCCCCTCCCTCCTGGGCCCCGGCCCGCCACGGTCCCGGCTGCTGACATGTTCCCAGCCCCAGAATCACCATCCCACAAATTCCCACCAGCAGGAGAGAATACACTAGGGCTGGACTCTCTCCTCAGGGGAGCAAAGAGGCAGATCAGTGACATACAGGGGCGTCTCCTGGGGCCATTCCAGCTCCAGAGCCTCTCTGGCTCCTGGAAGGGTCCCTGTGGCTCCAGATGGTGCAGAGGTCTTGTCTCAAGCCAAGGGGTGGACATGATGAGCTGGAACAAACTATCTGTCTTGAGGAGTGGCTCACCACTGAGCCTCCCAGCTCCTGCTTCTGGAGACTGCGGCTGAGTTGATGGGCACGTGGTTCACAGACATGAGTCAACCCTTTGCAGGTTCCCCATTCCTCTGCCGTGGCGGGCTCAGTGGTGGGGAGAAAGGGCAGGGCTGGAAGATCACAGGAGGCCAGCAGTTTCTGTCTTTGGCCATGGCAACGTCTGATAACCTGCAGGTATGATTTCTTAAGCAGCGGAATAATGTGTGAAGTCTTAATTGATGAGATCTACCCAAGCCAATTGCTGAGGTCGGAATCTCCAACAGAGGGATGCTAACAGTGGGGAACCAAGACAGGAGAAAAATCGCCTGCTTACTTTTGAGTGATTTGAAACATCCTGAGATGCTCAGGGAGAGTGGGGCTCAGCTAGCGGAAGCCCTCTCCCAGGAGCAGGGCGTCCGTCAGAGCCTGTCTGGAGCCCTGAGTGCTTTCAGCTGCCCTGATGCCCACTGTCACATGCCCTGCAACTCTGCCAGGCACGGGAGAGGGGAGCCAGGGCCAGCATGGGGCTGGGGCAAGTGGGAAGCCCGTCCAGCATTAGGACCTCAACACGGCTTGGAGGGAACACGGTTCTGTGGGCAGAGGAACAGGAACAGAGGTCTTCAGCAGATTTTGAAGGGTCTGAGGGGAGGCAGTCTGGATGTCCAGGGCCACGTGGTTGGTGGGGGGAGGGTGTGGACCTCGGAGTCGGACACATCTGGCTTGCAATCTGCCGCTGCCACTCACTCTCCATGTGGCCTTGGTCAGGTTATACAACTTTCTGAGCCATGGTTTCCTTTTTAAACATTATTATTTTGAAGCAATATCAAACTTACAGGAAACATGCAGGTACAGTACAAATTTTTTCCTGAACCTGTGAGAGTAGGTTGCCAACATGACACTCCATCACCCTAATACTTTTAATTTATATTTCCTGCAAAGGTGATTTCCAATATAACCTCAATATAACCACATAAGCACAGGGGACTATATTTAGTATCTTGCAGTAACTTATGGTGGAAAAGAATATGAAAACGAATATATGTGTATAACTGAAAAACCGTGCTCTGCACTGGAATTTGACACAACATTGTAAAATGATTATAAATCAATAAAAAATGTTAAAAAAGAAAAGAATATGAAAACGAATATATGTATGTTCAATATGACTGAAGGATTACGCTGTAC